TGCCTGAAGCGTCTAATATTGCCTCATGGAATCCTGGCAATCTTTCTTTATCTGCACTTCCTGTACTAAAGCCTGTGGTGTCTGATTCACATGAATCAGAGCCTATCTTTTATTCTGCTCTTGAATCTCCTTATCCATTTGCGACTTTGAATAATCCTGCAATCAGCATGACTAGCGGTTTAGCTGAGTTGGCGATCCAAGGACCGAATTCTGAAAAGATTAACCCCTCTACGCTGCCTGTCCTCACGCCTCTTCAGGAAGGTCTCTTAAAGCGTTTTCCAAGTGAGGCAGCTTTTTATCAATATTTTAATCTCCTAGGTTGCAAGTTTTATGCGTTCATTTGACAAATTAACGACATGTTTCTGGCTTAGAGTTAATATGATTTTACTAATATTAAATTTTTTGTAGCTCCCTTGAATCCCTTGATAAATTAGTTGAATTTTAGCACAGGATTATAGGGACCGGTAACGTATATACTCACAATAAATTGAAATTCTTCCTAAATATATTGTGAAATGCCTTTCAAAAGGGCTTTATCATCCAGATAGGACTGCTGTTTCAACTTCAAATAAGTTACATATATATGTCTTAATATATCATCAACAATAAGATCTTGATAGCGATGATCAACTTGGTATTAGGATTACTTCAGCCACTTCTCCGGGTTTAATTAAAACAAGTTCACCTCTTGAAAATAAAGTCCCTACTTTAAGTATAAGTTGAAATAGGCCTAATTTGACTCAAGTCCCGTGGGTTTTAATCCGTCGATGAGACCTAGATGAGATTTAAATTATAGCTCAATTTAGATGAGAATATCTTCTTGTAGTCTATTTCCTTGAATAAGAAATTTATTTGCTAGACCTGGTGGTCAGGATAGTAAGGAGACGGATAAGCACTTGGGATGCCGCAGGCGACCAGGGATAGGCGTCAAGAGTTTGCTCAGGTAACACGGGTTTATTGTCGGGGGGACTTTAATTTCGTATGAAAGTGCAAGAAGAAAAGATACGTATGCGGATCTCACCAGAAGAGGACGGATGAATCCCGTTGTACTGCAGCCGTTTGGCTTTTATATG